CTGCCAAGTAAAATGCAACTACTGTATAAAAATAGGCGTGTTCTGTAAAAGCTTTAGTAAAAGAGATGTCGGAGTTCATAAACAATCTTTAACCCTAGAGACTTTTTAGGATGAAGTGATAAGCCAGAAGTGCTTTGTAAAGCTTACAAATTATTTAATAAATGCTGCCATTTCACCATTAATAGACAAGTTGCAGAATAGGATTGTCTGCCCAGAGGAGATGATAGTTCCAAAGTCAGGGTGTGCAGGGGAAACCCAGAGGAGAGAGTAACTCAAGTTTGGTTTGCTCTGTTCTGCTAACTTCCCTCTTGTGGCCATGGAGCCATAGGACCATGGCATCTCCTTCTGCACAAACATTCACGCTGAGGAGAGAGCTTTGCAAAATAGCAGTAGCTCTGGAGCCGTGGGGAATGGGAAATGTTAACCCTTCACAGAGAGGGAGCTGGCAGATGAGAAGAGGGGGGAAACCTCCTCGCACCGACCCTGGGCATCTGCTGGGAGTGCCGAATCTTGTCCACAAAGCAGAGCTGAACTTCTGTGCATTGTGCGCGGGCAGCACTTCTGCTGCCTGCAACACACAGTCCAGGGCTTCTCCATCACCTTCTTAAAGGTTTTACAGGGTTCAACACCCTGTATTGGCCGGTTTTCCTGTTCCACGCGATTGTGGACTTCCATTTTGTCCAGAAAGGATGCAATCAAACTCCAATCTGCAGTTGTTTTGGAGAGCTGTGCCACCTCAAGAAATACTCAGCTGGGGTCTGCAGAGCAGGGAGAGCCGGGTGGGATTTGTGGCTGAGCTGCTCCCGGGTTCATTTCCCGAAGAGCGGCTCTAGGAAAAGCAGCTCCAAGCTGTACCCGTTGGTACTCGTTGCCTGGAAAGCAGCAGCACTTCTGCTCCTGCTCTGCCGAGTGGGCGCAGGCGCATCCTGGATTGAGGAGCAGCGGAGCCGACTGCTCGGAGCTGTAATTCAAACCCTCAGAGCACAGATGGGAAAGGGCCCGTCGGCTTCTGGACACACAGTCGGGCTGTTCATTCATCCCTTTGTTCAAACCTGTGGGGAAAAAAAATGGGTACAGATAGAAAAGCCATTCAGAGAGATGGCCTCCGAAGGGACCGTCTCCGTGTGCTTGTTCCTGTGCCTTCATTTAGGTAGTGCGACTTCCCTTAACTCCATGGAAGTCAATAACCAGAGCGTTGGCCCTCCATAAATTAAATATTAGGAGCTGTGTTTGAAGTTCCAAGGCCTCCATCCTCCTGCTAGCTCCCATTTTCTGCTGCTGCGCTTTTTTCTTTATGCCTGAGCACCTTGCTGACAAGTGCTAATAACAAAATGCCAAGAGAGGGTCCAGTCGGACTTACCACACATTAAACATTCTGAACTTGTCCTTTTGCTCATAGATTGTGCATAATTAATAATTAAACGGTTTCAGTTGTAATGGGTTGACCTTCTTGAACTGTTCATTATTCACAAGGCAAAGGCATCACTCAAACTTTTTTTTCCTATTGCCCTTCCCCGTTCTCGCTGGATATTCGCATTTCAGCTGCTGTTGGGAACCCAGCTGACTGCTTCCGAAAGCAGAGCAGCTTATCCTGTCCTCTCCTGCAGCACCTCTCAGTTGCAGAAACGTTGCTGGGTATTTAGGGCAGTAGATGGTCTAGGGAATAAACTGCCTCTGGATGGAAAAGGTGATCAGCACCTCGACCCTTAAGGGGCCATTTTGTCAGCTCCCCAGTTTATGGAGCTACAAGATGCTGGTTAAAAGATGCAATCATTAATGAAAATATAAGACCTATTCCTTAGTTTAGGATGAGCATGCCTGTTCCTCTCTGCTTTAAAATTAAACGTGGTTTTCCATTTTTTTGCCTCGGCAGTGCAAGTTTAGAGGGCAGGTGGGTAAAACGGGGCAGGCCATGGAGCAGAGGGACGGTTCCCCGTGGTTGGATCAAAAGGGTCCCTGTGTTTTATCATACAGAATGCACATACCAGTTCTCCTACGTCTGAGTAGCTTTGCTTTCGTTCCCTATATTCCCACCTCTTTGAGAATCAGAGTCATCTTTTAGGAAACTTCAGGATATGATACAGGCTGCATTTATTTTGTGCAGCTTTTGTAGGTTCTCCCTTCATGCCCGCTGTACCAACACTGTGATTGCTCCCGTCGCAGAGGTAGCAGCGGCAGTGCTTTATCTCATGGACAATAGCTCTAAGTGCAAAATACCCTCACGTTTCTGCTGCTCAAATGTTCCTGTGTAAAACCATGGCAGAAATGGCAACATTTCTGTCGCTGTTTTTCGCGGACAGGTACCGTGACTGAATGGGTGTTCTCTGGTTCTGACTTAAGGTCGTTTTAGAAAAGCAGGAGGCAGATTTCTCATGGTCAGCTGTGGAAGCACTGGAGGGTCCAGACGTTTCTGGCTCAAACTAAAATGCAGTACCTCCCCCCTCCTCCCCTGTTGTGCCCCTGCTGTAACGTTACAATAGGTTCTTGCTTTCAGGAGTGAAATTAAGGTATTTATTTGCACCAATCTACCTTCAGCCACACTTCCTAAAAAGTGTTTTTTTGAGGTTGCTGTATGCTCGGAGAAGGTTTGCAGCCTCTAAGCACATAGCCAAGGGGTCTGTGGGCCACCCGCTCTCAAACCCTTGGGCAGAGTGCACCAAGGCTCCATTTCCAGGTGCCTCCTGCAACCCCTTCCCGAGCCCCTGGCCGCGCACGGCCGTGCTGGGAAAACAGCGTCTTTCCCCCGGGTGTTTTTCTGTGCATCCTTTAGCGGCTGCACCTCCCTTCTGTCCGGAAGGGGTTTCGGGAGCTGCATGGACAGGGTGTTAATCCTGCCCTGCCAGATTCCAGGCCCCGGCTTGGGATGGCCCAAGCGACCCGCTGACGGCTGCAGCTCCCGGCGTCTCCTCCGCTCTCGTAATGGAGCTTCCCTCCGTTCTGGGTCCGTGGTCTCCTTGCGACTGCAGGAATTATCAGCTGCCAAAGGAGCGTGAAGCGTCGCGTGCGGCCCCGCTCCCCGGCACGCGCGGGTCCCCGCGGCCCTCCACGGAGGGACGGAGCCCACGGGATGCTCCCCTTGAAACAGCCACAGGGGTAGGTGGCTGGGCAGACCCGCTCCCAAAGAGCGTGGTCTTTGGCCATTTCCAAGAGGATCCATAATCCGTGCCCGGAGAATTCCCTGCCTTTCCTCAGCTTCTGCCTTTGCTCCAAGCGTGTCCCACCTGGGAAGGCAGCGGCTCCCACTTCACGTGGGAGAAGATGATGGAGAGAGGCTAGAGCTGCTGGGCTCCGCCGGCATAACCAAGCCTGACATTTTGCTCTGCGTTTTCCATATTAATATGACTAATTCTGGTGTGTGGTTCTTTGAACCGGAGGAAGTTTAATTGCACCGTTTATTTCCTTGTGTTACTTCTCCTCTCCAGTGCAAACCTCCCTGTATTGATGTCATTTATAAGTTTAGAAGCAATAACCTCTTCTTCTCCCAGCCTAAGTTCAAAGAGAATTTGGGCACGTTATATCAAACACTCCTTGTATCTAATTGAACTCTTTGAAAATTGTAAAGCAATTTTGGCTTCTCCTTTTACTCTTCAGTTACTTTTGATTTAATTGTATTTTCCAGCAGTTTCCAATTGTTTGAATTGGAAACAAAGCCTTAATAAGAGTTCTAGTTAATTTTCTGTCTTGTAATTACCGATCTCATTTTTCTGATAATTGGCCACAGCAATTATATGTATATTTACTAATCACATAGGAGGCTCTGCAGTTGTGTCTATCTGCCACCATTGATAATGGCACACACATTGCAGAGGTGCTTTTATCATCTTCTTTTTTCCACTACATCAAAGCTATTTCCTCGCATTCTCAATAATGAATACATGCATGCATTTGACACAGTTGTGTGCTAGAGAAATTGTTTGGCTCCCACCAAATGCTGCACGCTCCGAGTTTCTTGCCTGCAGCGCTGGAAGGTTGTATGTAATGATATATTGCTCATCCAAATGGCCAAAGCACTCCAAAGCACAGTGAGATTAAAATAAGTCATTCCTTTGTTAATTTAAATAGGTGCATGTATCATACTTTGCAGGGTACTTTGTGTAGGGATGTCAGGGAGGAAAAAAGCCGCCGAAAGGTATTTTTAATAGCAAATGAGAATAGATGAGAATGGAGTCATTTGCAGCTGCCTGTTTTATGTGGCTCTCTTGTTCCAACTGTAGGTCTAATGAGATGACACTGTTAAAGTACTCTGCAGTGTAATTTCATTACATCCTGAGCTGTTACACTATAAACACAGTGGAGCTCTCTGTCATTCTTGGAAAAACTCCTAAATTCGTAAAACCCTTCTTTGGAAACGGTGATGATGTTTGTTCCCTATTTGTATTTTTTTCTTATGCGCTCTTTTTTTATTATTTTTTTTCCTCCTTTGCTTTCATAAATGCTAGATGGTTATTTTCCCCACACTGGTAAATCTTACCTTTATTTTTTTATTTATTTATTTTACAAAAAATATTTCCCCTTTTAAATCTAGAACAGACTGCATATTAGGAGAGCCTCTAAAATGAATAAGTGTAAATAAACATGAGTGTAAATAAATAGCAAATACAGTGAAAGAAACAAAGGTCAACACAAGAATAATTTCACAGCTCTTTGTTAATTACAAGACCATTTGTGTGTTACTTAAATAATCATTAATTTCTAAAAAAAAATTTCCCTACCTTCCTTTTTACCCTGTGGCTATCATTGTCCTTTTTTCACCTCCCCTCAGTGTCTTTCCACATGTTTTTACCCATTGTGTAATACTCATTAGTTGAAATTCAGTGTTTTATAACACATTCTCGGAAGAATTTGTACCTTTCCCTCCTCAAATTCTCTGCGTGAAGAGGGGGCTTTGTCGCTTCTTTTATTTTTTTCTCTTGTGTTATTTGTTATATTATTCTCCTAAAAAAAAAAAAAAATTGCCTTCTCTGCCCGTGACTCTGCCTCTCGTTTCAATCCACTGGCAGGAATCGCCCGTCCTTCCAGCCGGGGAGTTCTCCGAGCCATTTGTACACTTCATCACTCAATGGTAAGCTCGGTTTGCAAACATGCCATGCCCTCGATGTAAATGATACATGCCATTAACTCGGCGGCTCGGCGAGACCTTATGGCTTTCCTTGCATCCTTTCCGAGAGAAGAGGGACTTGGGGGCCTTGGGCAGATGGGGCAGCAAAGCTAAGCAAACTGTTTAAATTATGTAAACGTTATTTACACAAAGGGTCGTAAAAGTACTTACAAGGGGTTTTTCCTGTTTTAATAAACCTGCCCTGGGTCTGGGTGCGTTGTCGTGTGCCGAGGCTCCCACGAATTCATCCGGGGGTAAAGAGGCCACAAGGACTCCTGTGTATAATATCTTTATTTAGGGCATTTTAAAATATTACTTTAAAAAAATCCTCAATGTTTAGAAGGGCAAACAGCCTTGATTAATTCATTGGCTTTTCAGTAAGTAATTTTTACTGAGTGTCATATTTTAAACCACACCATTGCGTATATTTTCTTCCCTTAAAACAGAATAGTTTATTGAAAACCTTTTAAATTAAGACAAGAGTGGGAACACGAATTTGTGAAATAAAAAATACATTTATTGAGTGATAGGTGATATGGATCTGCAGGGTAGGCTATTCTAAGGAACAAAGCTGTTCTAAAGAAAAAAAGTGAGGGGAAAATCTGTGTTGTTTTTAGCTGGATCATTCACAAAAAAGAATTTTTTTTAAAAAAGCTATTTACATGTGGCAAAAAAAGCACAAGATTGGATTTTATATAAACATACCGTGTTCAATGGAGAAGCATCCCTTTGGAGACAGTGCGTGTCCTGGCCAGGCTGCTTGGTGCTGTAGAGCACATGGAGTGCAGAGCCTTCAGCCTCACTTCCTCATCCTCAGTGAAACGGGTGCCTGAAGTCCATAGCTCCAAATACACATAGAGAGATAGGTAGATAATAACTGCAGGCTGAGTCCTGTTTGCACCATCACATCCTCTAGCATGAGCCAGGGTCACTGGTGCAAACGCTGGGTGAATAAATCAGTATTTTTAATGCACAGCATAGGAGAAAGCACATCTTCACATGGACATGATATATAGCAAGTAACCCCGAAATGGAAAGCTGTCCAATTAGCAGTTAACTCGGGTAATGGTTAGCACAGCACAGGCCTTCCTTTCCAATAGGCTCAGTGTATGGGGAGCAGTGTTTGGAGGATTTTGCACCAACGTTCATGGAGCTGCACTTGTTTTAATGCCTGTAAAAAATTAATCACAGGCCGCTAAAAAAAAAACCAACTTAGGCAGAGGGAGGGGTAACCTGTGTTAAAATTTCCACAGATGTCAAGCTGAAGCAAAACTGATGGTGGCTAATAGGCTGCTTTTCCCTGGAGACTCGGCTGCTTCGGACTGTCAGATTAGAGCAGTTACCGCCCGCTCGTCAGACAGCTCCGGCCTCCGCGCGGCTTGGGCTGCTGCTGGTTACTGTAGGGAGCCAAACTGCATCCTCAGAGCCCCCTGTTTGCAACGCAAACTGTTTAGTATTTTTGATATAATGTTATATTTGCCATATGGTTTGCAGTTATTTTTAATGCAAGGCATTACCGTTTTAAAAAAAATTCAGCCGAGAGGAAAACCCTCTATGTCCCGCTTAAGCAATCAATTTCTAATAAGTATTAGAGATGTGAAGGGAGCAGCGTGGCAGACTTTATGACTTGATGCCAGTGACGCTGTAAACACTGGCTGTTTGGATGTGATCCAATTAGTCAGTAGGCAGCTCGTGATGGTCACCTCTGTGCCACGTTATTGTGAGCCTCCATGCAGCTAAGCACAGCCCTCGGTAGCTAATTGCACCTGTTGCACGGAAAACTAGCACTGTTTGGATGAGAAACATGATCTTATAAACAGCGTAATGCTGTGTAATGAACTATCACCCTGCAGTGTAATGGAAACAAATGTGGAAAAATTAAGGTGGAAACCCCAGGGTATTGCATGTTCTCCTGAAGCTGTTCGGTGTTAGAGTTAAATTTCCCACCTGTTTATGCAATGCTTGGTGTCGAGCCACGTGTTAGTCGGTGGCAAAAGGAGGATCAGCTTTTTGTGCCCTCAGACTTGATTGGTTTTCAATGATCATTGCATTTAAATGCATTTGTGGTAAGAAGTGGAGTAGAGCACCAAAGAAAAGGAAAATAATTGTCAATGTGTCGCTATACGCAGAAAGCAGCCATTCTGTGGGAGATATTAGGAAGCGTAATTGCTGTTAGAAACAGTCAAAGAATCCTGTAAATTCATAGGAAACTTCAGAGACTCACAGGTGAAAAGCAGAGTAGAGTCAACAAGGTATTTTTCTCATTAAGTGAAAATATAACAAGTGTATTAAGAATGGAGCAACACTGACCATAGGGGAGGGATGGGAGGGAAGAATCAATTAACATTTGGGTCGCTGTGAGGAGCTCTGTCCTCCCCTGTATGTGCTGAGGTCAGGAAGTGCATTGAGATTCGGGGCACAGTCTGCGGAGATACAGGAAGAAGTCTTCAATATTTAAGCAAGTGGAATAAACAAACCGTTGTTTATATCTGAACATTTTGTTTTATGCTACATAGCATGAAAAAGCAGCCAAAGGAAAGGCCAGCACCTGAAGAATTAATGGTAAGTGAAACTTCTGAGTATGTATTTATCTACCAACACGTTTTATTAATGTATATTGAAGTGTGTGCATTTTTAATGTGCTTTCCAGCATGTGCAAGTTCACATCTGACTTGTACAGCAATTACACGTTTGCAGACCCATAGAAACAAAAGGTGAAATCCTGATTCCTTTGGAGTTAATGGATATTTTGCTGGGTGGCCAGGGCTTCACTTGCGATTTCAGAAGTTAATACAGAACTTCCACAGCCAGCAGCAAATTTCAATCAGAACCATTTTGATGCTTAATACACTTTTTTTTTTTCCTCCTCTTTCTGTTTTTATGTCCAGGGATTACTGCTTAATGTAGGTCACGCTTTGTCATCATTTGCCAGTCTTAACCTTTCAAAGTCTGAAGATTGGAAATAGAGGATACACTCAAAATAGTGTATTTCTAGTGAAATGCTGGAGCTACTGTTTTCAGTTATCTTCATGTAGAATGAAATTAGATTGGCTACAGAAGATTGAGTTAATGTGTAGCTTTTGGTCTTTCGCCTCTCCATGTTGGAATCGGAGCTCAGAGATCACTTCTTTTGCTTGCAAATGTCATCTTTTCAGTTAAGTGGTAATAGGGAACCTGCTTTCCAGCCCGTCCCCTGTGACTGTGTATTTAGGGTGTAGTGCTGCTTTGGCTGTTTTTAAGCTGCCAGAAAAATATCCTATCAAACAGTTATTGTAAATAATTTCAGTAACTTTACACTGTAGATATGAGCTCTAGTCTGCACTGACTCGTATCAAATACCCTACGTTTTAAGTGTTTCATTAATTTTCTCCATATGCTACATTTCCTGCCTCATAGAGGTTAATAAAAAATCATTGTAATTTATTTTTTGTGGGTTACGTGTCAACAAATAATTTTAGGAAATCTTAATGGGGTAAGAACACGTTTGCATTTTCTTTCTTGCTTCCATGCTATGAGCTACAAGCAGAATAAGCGAATGTTTGTGTCGCAGCTCTTCTCTAGTTAAAGGCTAATCTCTGAGGAAGCCCTGGGGCACACATCTCAACTCAGACTAGTCTCAATTTAGTCCCTGGTTAGTAAAGTATTTAACTGTGAATCTAATTTTAAGGGTATTAACTTCAATGGATTTACATTTGAAGTTAGGCACCTGCTTAAATACCTTGGTGAGATGAGGCCTTAAAGTTTATCAGAGCCCTTCTACTTTGTGCTGTGTGCCTGGAATGAAAGGCTTGCACTGCCTTATTTTGTCTTTTTTTATTAACTTTTGATGGTTGGAAAATTCTTGCAGTTAGTCACATCTGAGAAAACTTGGAACAGGTTCTAGAGATGTAGACACATTTACCTTGTGCACTATTATGCTATGGCTGGATAGCTTAGCTATTAAAACAACGGAATAGGGTTTCATAAAACCCGTGTCTGTTTGTAAATGCATGTTTCAGTGATGCAATAGGCTTGCCACTTATAAATAAAACATCTGCAGATCACACATACCCCATAAGTATATATGTATGTTTGTAAGCAATAACACCACTCCAGGGTGTAGAGTCATAAAAAGGAGGCCAAAGGGTGAGTGCCTGCAGTACCAGGGAAGTGCACAGATTTATCTTTACAACTACATGCCCTGGAGCGTGCTAGTCCCCTTTTAAGGAGGTATTTTGTAAAATAATTTTAAAATTATAGCAGTTCAGGAAAAAAAAAAGTCCTACTTTTTAAACAAAATATTTGAACACATTTTTCTCCTCGCCCTACTTCCTATTCAGTTATAAAGGAAGTTGCAGGAAGAAGTGCTTAAGCATGAGGGAGGCTGCTGCTGAAATGAAGAGCAGAGCCGCTGCTTGTCCCAGCCCTGGTAGTGGCACCGATGGGCTCGGAGAATCCCGGGCTCCATCACGGCTCTGGAGCAGCTCCCACGTTTTCCTGGACGCTCCCGCGTGCCGTGTTCGAGGGTCTTTGTGCAGAAGGAAACACGAGAACAACAGGGGAGATGGAGGAAACCCAAGAAAATAATTCAGGGGTCACACACTTCCGCACCTACCACGTTTATATGTTGTGAAGTCAAAGAAGCGAAGTTAGCAGGGTGCCAAAGTTGGTCCAAGCCGGGCTCTGCACGAAGAGCAGTGTTTGAAACACCCCCTGCACACAGAGTCCCGGTGAGGACTCGGCCCACGTGGGTTGGTGGCCTCGCTCTGAGGACCGCGTTAGCACCCACAGGGCTGACTTGGCTCCTTTCAGAAGCTTTTACTGGTGTTTTGGTGGCGCTTTTCTTAGGTAATTCATTATTTAGGTGAGATCTAAAGTCTGTGTGACGGTCTGTCACGGGGCTGCATTGCAAACAGAATTACTTGTCTTAGCAAGGAGCAATTTATTAATAAAACTCTCACAGATGTATACATTAACATATGCAAAGTGCATATATGCACAAAAACCTGCATGCTTGCATATAAACATATCTGTGCATACATAGGTGAATATACATTTCTGTACTGTGCTGGAAAGCAGGACCAAAGCTAAAGCTGATTAAATACATTTCAGAGTTGCTGACCATAATATCCTTTCTAATTCGCTGTCTTTTGCTTCCGGAACCTGTAATTCTGGTGGATATCTCCATTTCTTGAAAGCTGTACCTGTGTTAACTAGCAATAATGGGTAGAATGATGCAGACATTATCAGCGAAATCCTGGACCTGTCGAAGTCAGCTTGCCATCAGTTTAAATGCGCCGAGGATTTCACCTCTGTCATTGTTTTGTGCTTTAGATGTAATGTGCTGCCAAGGATGAAAGGTGTAACATGCAACAGTCGTTAGCTTCACACAAAACATCAGAGTGCGGGTGTTCTCCCCTTGGACATTAACCATACTGGAAGTCACTATTTTGTAACCAATTTAGTATAATTAAAGACTGAAAGCAAAATGAAGGGAGCAGAACATCAATCTTTTCCTACTCTCCTGATGATCAGTGAATTGTTAAAGGCACCTTAAGAACTGGCTAACAATACTGGCAGTGCCAGATTGGCATCTCCATTGAAGCCACTGGGTCACATCAGGGATGGATTTACTGTCTGTCATGCTAGGAAGACCTTATATATATATATATATATATATATATATATATATATATATATATATATATATATATATATATATATATATATAAAAATATATATGCATATATATATATCTAAGTCACCATGCACATTTTGTTGGAAAATAGGGCCAAAGCCAAGGCTGTGTGAAATTCCTGCATAAAGTCAGGCTTTCTGGTACCATAGATACTCTTGTACACGTGAACACCCAATTTTTGTAACAGTTAGAGTAAGTTAAATCCTTACATTTATGCTCAGTTGCTCTGCCTTTTGTTCAGTCTGCCCACCCTCCAAAAAGGAGGTGTATTTATAGCATCAGTTTCTCAGTGTGTGCATATTCAGTGATAAAATTGTCTCAAAGTATTTCCAGATAATAGATTTTCAGGGGAGTGAAAAAAAGAGATTTCACTGAGCAATGAGAAAATTGTCCGTCCTGGGAAGGGGCTGATCTTTCTAATTCACCAGTGGATACTCTGCACCTTGTTCTTAGTGTTGGCTCTTTTCTTCCTTCTGACGAGTTGAGGGATGTACAGTCAATTTGGATCTAGTGGCTCCCTGTTTCAGCACTAAGGAAGTCCACACAGCATCTTAGGATGCCTCTCCTCTCCCCTTCCAGCAGGAAAAGGAAAACCTCCCCAAATCTTCTGCATAGAAGGGGGGAAATTCCCGAACTTCCTTTTTCCTTTGTAATACAGGGCTCCTGGCATTGCAAGCTGGGGAAATGCAATGAGCACGAGTGGGCACGCGCGCTTGGCAGGCGCAGGGCCCTGCGGATCGGCACCGAGCTGCTCCGGGTGCCGACCGCATCCAGACGCCTCCGCGGCTCGGGAAGCTGCGGATCTGGCTGTATTTACGGTATTTTTCCGAAGCTTCCCATTCTAAGCTCTATTTAATGGAATCTATGCATAGTAAGTAATCAGGTCAGAGAGAAGCAACATCCCCTGTTTGAGATCAATCGCTGGCTAATACTTTATCTAGGCCACTTTATTATCTCATGCTGATTCCATTCCCATTCTCCTCCTCCTTTGTAGCATGCACTTCAGCTGTGGTAAAAGTACGTATCGCATACATATTAAAAACATATACCCATTCTATCTGTATGTAAATGTGTGAGACACAGCTGGATATTGCAGGAGTTTGATTTACTAATAGTTATTATCTGTTCTAGCTGTTCAGTGGCAAAGAGAGTTGCAGAAGACAAGCTAGCGCAGAAATTGCCTTTATGATATCAGTAGCCTGCTTTGGTAATTGTTTAAAATCTCTCTTCTTCAGATGGAAGGCTGGCCTTTTATTTTGCAGCCTGTGTGCAGTTCTCAGAAAGCCAACAGGATTGTTGACATCTCTTGTTGAGTTTTTTGTTAGTATAGCATTGAACTCTATCACGCTACATATGACTGTTTAAATGCAAGTGATTCACCTAAAGGAATTATATATGAAATACCAGGAGTCAAGCATGTAGCAGTTATTCCTTTATGGTCTCCCATGGATGCCTAAAAATGCTGTCTTTAAGATGCTGGATTTAGATTTCTCAAGGGAAGGACGGGGTAGGAGGATGCAGTGGTTCTGGGCCAAGAATAGTCAACTCTGCACTGTATTACTTGTGCACAGATCTTTTGATCTCCGTTTAAGTTTCCAAATCGGATTCGCAAATTTAAATTGCTGACACTTTTTCGTGTAGAAGTGTCATTAATTTAGATGATTGTATAGATATCCTTCATATCAAAAGCAGTGACTTGCTAAAAGACACGGTTTCCCTCATTTTTTTTTTTTTTTTAAGTGTAATGCGGAAGCTTGGTGACCACGTGCTTTCAGCAACCCCTATGTCAGGAGTGGTGTTTACAGCAGGCACTCAGACCTCGTTAGCTGCAGTGGCCATTTTTCATATGGATTATTTGTTTCTATACTTAAGTGTGTTTTCTTAA